TCTTGTCATAGTTTTGTATATGTTCACAAAGTGAGACCTAGAGATTGGCTAAAAGCTGGAGGAAAAAGGAGAGAAGAGTGGCATAGGCACACATACAAGTACATGGTTGTACATGATGCATGTCAGAAGGTAACAACAGTTACGAGATTGGAAGAATTCCGACCACAGGTCGTGGTGTGAGAAAGAGGCCTAAAGGGGGGAATACCCTGGACTTTGGATTTATTTACAGAACAGTTTCCTAGATGTCAAGGACAATATTAACGTATTCGTAAGAGCTACAGGTTATGAGAGTGATAAGTGCATTTGTCAACAGTCGAGGACGAATGTTCCAAAGGGGGGAATGATGTTACACCCCAAGTTTTCATACGTGAGAGTACGTCGTAAGTCATCGATGTAAGCTCGAAAATGAGATTATATTTGGAAGCAAATAAAGTAAGTTAATCATGTTACCTTGGAGGTTACAAATATTTAAGATCATGAAAAACAAGTACCAAAAGGGTTGGAAAGCTTAGTCGCTAAACGAATTGAAGAAAATAAGTTTCGTCGAAAATCGACAAGTTTGGAATGTAATAACATATTCTTTTGGGGAGAGACTAGGGTGATTAACATGATGAGGAGTTTAAGTTATGAGTTATTGTAGTCATATGATAGTCGTGTGTTATGTTTTGAAGTCAAGCGAGTTGTGGAACAAAAGTTGGAAAAAGGTCATCACAAGTTCCATTCATAAATGTGCTGAAAATTAGGTCAAATGTAACTGAGCTTTTCTCCCAATATACTTGGAATTATGGGATGATCTACATATCAAATTGAATATCTACGAGTCTAGTTTCCAACGTATTAAACTGTTCGTCGATACGATATTGGAGTAGAGAGATATTTGCATTTTCGCGAGACAGCGCAGACTGGTAGGTGACAAGTAGGTGCATCACCTACTTGCCAAAATGAGAGGACTTAATTAAAAGCCCCAAAGTCGGCCAAGAGGGGTCTTTTAAGGGAATAAAAACTGAGTTATTTCACCTGTATTTCAGACCAAGAAAACCTATTTAACCCCTGCAACTCCTCCCCCAAAATCCCACACAAACCCTAGGGTATTCCGGGTGTTACGACGTGATTCTAGTGCTGAAAAGTCCGGACAGCATGCTAGTTTNGAGGATGGCCTTCTTATAGGGGAGATGCTGCCAAAATTTACGTAAACAAGCTACTAGTTTAAGTTGCGGACTTAGCCTTTACTCTGCACTAATTTTGAATCTCCTTATACCGTGGTAGATTAAATTGAGTTGTTTGAAGAATTTCTTGGAAGGCATTAAGGACTCAACGGAGTTAAGGTATGTTAAGGCACTTCCTTCTTTCTTTTGGCATGATCTAACGTGAAATGAATACGCTATTTCATAATGAATATACTCCTAGCAACTAAGGTTGTCCATGTTGTTCTTTCCGTACAAATTTATTCTAAGAAAGTATGTATGATCATTGAGTCCTAGTGAAGTTCATATTGATGGTGTGATGTCCATAATGTTAATCGAAGGTGCAACGACTTTACGTCACTCTGAAAGGTTTAGAACGTGATTCCATGAGTCGAGAATGCATTATATATATGTATCTATTTTAGTCTACCGAGCCGCGCTATAGTCGGCCGGGTACGGCACCTATTGTGCAACCACTGATCAGCTGGGTTTACCGAGCTCCACGTGGCCGGGTATGATTCTACCGAGCCTTATGATGGCCGGGTACGTTTTTACCGAGCTTCTTTGAGGCCGGGTACGATATGATGATGATGATGCCTACAGAGGCGAATGTTTTTAAAAGTTTATGTATGTATATGTATTATGCATTTCATGTCAGCAGTCCCCAGAGGCACTCAAATGTTACAGGTTGTAGCTCCTCTATCTCTCTTTATATTACTGTTCTTATTTATGCTTTCCTGCCTTACATACTCAGTACTTTTTTCGTACTGATGTCCCTTTTGCCGGGGACGCTGCGTTTCATGCCCGCAGGTCCCGATTGATAGGTTGACAGTCCTCCTATTAGGCTATCAGCTCAGCGAAGGTGTTGGCGCACTCCACTTGCTCCGGAGTTGCCTATTTGGTCGGTATGCTTTGGATATGTATTGACTGGTATGACGGGGCCCTATTCCGACCTTTATGATTTTATGTACTCTTAGAGGCTTGTAGACAGATGTCAGGTGTATGGATACTTGTATGGCCTTGTCGGCCTATGTTTTGAGTTTACAAATGGTCATGTCGGCCTTATAGTCCCATATGTCATATGTATAAGTTTGTATATCATGTTGGGTCATCATATGTTGAGTATTCCCTTATGTTTTATTCTTGTTAACTCATGACGGGTTTTCTGGCTTATTTACTCATGATAGTATGATAAGAAAGATATGTTACGTTGGTACTCGGTTGAGTAAGGCGCCGGGTGCCCGTCGCGGCCCTTCGGTTTGGGTCATGACATTGTAGCTATATTTACGTTATGTAATTGATTTGATTAGATTTGGGTCACTCGAAGTTGGATACTCGTGGCAAGAGCGTGATTTCAGATTGATTTGAGTTTGGTTCGAGGTAAGTGGCTTGCCTAACCTTGTGTGAGAGAATTCCCCTTAGGATTTTGTACTGTTTGATATATGAGCGCTGTGTACGTGAGGTGACGAGTGCGTACACAGGATATTTGTTGAAAAACCTCATTTTCATTAAGCAAATATTTGTTTTCCTTTAATTGAGCAATAATAGTATATGTAACTATCCTGTTTAGCTTAGGAAAGCATGCCTACGTGCCTTAACTGCCTTAACTGCCTATCTGAACTCTATGCAACATGCTTAGTGAAAATTACCTGTCTTCTTTGATATGAACTTAGTCTAAACTGTATAATTCCTTGCTGAAACTGTTGTTTATGTTGATTGAGTTGCATATTTACTTTGGGACACGGAACGGTATTCCGGGAGATCCCCCTGCACGTTTACGTTTGGGGCTACGGGATGGTAACCCGGGAGATCCCTCTGTACTGTATATTTACTTTGGGACTACGGAACGGTATTCCGGGAGATCCCTCTGCACATTTACGTTGGGACTACGGGACGGTATCCCGGAAAATCCCCTGCACGTTTACGTTTGGGACTACGGGACGGTATCCCGGGAGATCCCCTGTTGTTATCTTTGTGTACTGAGCTATTGTTTTTCTGTGATTTCATCCTTGTTAAGTTTTAGTATTTATCTTTACTGCGATATTTCATTCTGTATTATTTTGTTATATATATATATATACCAGTAGGGCCCTAGCCTGATCTCGTCACTACTCGATCGAGGTTAGGCTTGGCACTTACTGGGTACCATTGTGGTGTACTCATGCCCTTTCCTGCACATATTTTTCGTGTGCAGATCCAGGTACCTCGCATCAGTTGCATTACCAGTGAGGCGAGACGACTGTAGAGACTTCGAGGTATATCTGCCGCGTCCGCAGACCCCCTATCTAATCTTCCTCAAGTTAAAGACTTCTTGTTTTTCTTCTTGTATTAGACTCTGGAGTATAGGAGTACTGTGTCTTTCTTTAGCTTGTGACTTATGACATTCTGGATTTTGGGAGAGTTTATGTACTGTTGGGAAATAATTATTGTATATGCCAAGCGGCATCACATTCCTTGTTTAAATTTACTTATTAGTTGATAACTTTTATATTTTCGCTCCTTTTTCTGCAATGTTAGGCTTACCTAGTCGTAGAGACTAGGTGCTGTCACGACGGTTCACGGAAGGAGAACTAGGGTCGTGATAGTTAAATTCCTCCTCCCCCCCCCCCTTCCCCCACCACCCAAAAAAAAAACTGAAATAGTTTAAAGGCAAAACTACTCAAACCGTCAGTCTATAAACAATTTTAATCCCAACCAGCAAAAAAAAATATTTACCAGAAAAGGGCCAAATATCATATTAATCCAAACAATTTCTATTAATGTTAGTTTTTAAAACATACAGTGAGCTAAAGTGAGTTTCAAAGAATCGAGCACCTTAATTCAATTTAGAAATCACTATTAATTTGATTGGGTCGAAGGATTAAACTGAAAGTACCATGGGTAACCAATTGAAGCTTGTTTAAGCTTGAATTCAAAAATTTGGGTTTTAAAAATTGGAATTTATTTCGAGCGGGTGTTGTTGGAATAATAGATTGGATACATCTTAAGTAGTGTGATTCTCAATTTTTGGATGATTTGGTGGAGAATTTAGGTGGTTTGAATTGGCATTTGAGCGAAATTCGAAGCACACAAGATAAACATAGAAGAAGATGATATGTATCTCACTGTGTATCAAATATGTATCTTCATGTATCTTTTTGTGTATCAAATATGTATCTCCTATATATTCATGTATACGTGTATGTGAGATACATGTTTGATTATATGTCGTAGAGAAATTTTTAAACTCGAATTCAACTATGAATTTTGCATCAAAACTAGTCCAAATCACATCCAATCTTCCTCAAATTCGTATATTGACTCATCCATATGTTTTAATGAATTTTAACCATATCCATTGAAAAAGATCCCTTTTTGCTTAGGTGTTTGGAATCTTGTATACTTTTTTTCTTTGTGTTTCATCTTTGCTATCTCATCCATGAAATTTCCTTTCCGTCTTGCATCTAATGTTGCTGATCACACTTAAAAATATAAAAGTAGATCTTTGTGTGTGATTCTTGGAGAGAAAGAATCCTTGTTTATTTAAGTTTTTAATTTTTGTATGCGCTTGGCTAGTTTTGATAAGTATGTGATTAATGGCTAAAGATTGATAAATTTAGATTTATTTTAGACATTTCCGTAAGATGCCCTAATTTAAAGCCCAAGAGGCCATACTACTTACTTCGTTGGCCTTTTCGCGGCAGACCCAGCGATATATGGGCTAAAGTAGCCCAAAATAAAGGCGGGAAAAATATTTTTTCCTCTCAGCAGTTCATTTCCATTCCCGCCAATAGCGAGCCCTGAATTCTTGAGCACACCTCCCAATTCAGCAGCTATATAAACCCTAACCCCTATTTCCCACCCATTTTCTCTCTCTCTCAAACACTGTCAGTCCTTTTCCCTCCTCCCCATTTCCAAACCCTAACCCTAACTTCCCCAGACCTTCTCAAAACCCCTTTTTCATCGAAAATGTTGGAATTACGGCTTGTTCAGGGAAGTCTGCTGAAGAAGGTTCTAGAATCAATTAAGGATCTGGTGAACGATGCGAACTTCGATTGCTCTGCCACCGGGTTCTCTCTGCAGGCCATGGACTCCAGCCATGTGGCGCTGGTGGCGCTGCTGCTCCGATCTGAGGGTTTTGAGCACTATCGTTGTGACCGTAATATTTCAATGGGGATGAACCTTGGTAACATGGCTAAAATGCTCAAATGTGCGGGGAATGATGACATCATCACCCTCAAGGCTGACGATGGCAGTGACACCGTCACTTTCATGTTTGAAAGCCCCAGTAAGTTCCAATACTTATTTTTTCTGAAGCCTAGTTTTTTTGTAGGTCGTGTAACAGATAAATAAGATCTAGAAGCATTGTAAAATTTGTTATGTAAATTTGCAAATTGTTACTTAACTTTCCCAAAATATTTGACATTTTTTTTGCTTATGATTACTTTATTTAAAACACTGATATGTACCTTTTGGTTATTTTGACGTGGGAAAAATTGCAGCTTATAATATGTAAGTTATAAATTTTGAAAATTATTATGTTACTGATTCTAAATAATTATAAATAAAATAAACTTGTTTATTTAGCTCAAAATTGGTATAATTGATATTTGATCCAAGAGATAAAATTGCAGCTAAATAGAACTTTTGCCATAGTGTTTGAATATCTAATTTTTTTTAAAAGTAATTACCTTACTGTTTCTAAAAAAATATAAAATAAAAATGAGTTAAACTAGTTTGATTTAGCTCGGAAGTGATATTATTGACACTTGGTCCAAGAAATTGGCATTGGGTATATTCATCATAGCGTGTGGTGTTGCATGTATTAAGTTGAATATATTGTTTTAGAAATTGTGATTTGATTTTGAATTTGGATTTTGTCTCCTATTCTTCCATTGTTATGGCTGGGTGTAACTTATTAAGATTACTTGATGGTTCACAGCCCAAGACAAGATTGCTGATTTTGAGATGAAGTTGATGGACATTGACAGTGAACATCTTGGGATTCCAGAAGCAGAGTACCATGCTATTGTTAGAATGCCTTCTTCAGAGTTTGCTAGAATTTGCAAAGACCTTAGCAGTATTGGTGATACAGGTGCAATTTGCCTCTCATGTTAACTGCAGCATTAGTGAACTAACTAATGGTGATTGAAGATTTAACTTTTGTTTCAATTGGTAACTGCAGTTGTAATTTCTGTGACAAAGGAAGGTGTAAAATTCTCAACCAGAGGTGACATTGGTACTGCAAATATCGTTTGCAGGCAGAATACAACTGTTGACAAGGTAGATATTTTGCTTATAGTGTTTCTGTCTGGTTGATTATTTCTTGTGATATTAGCTGATGTTTGACATGTTGGTTTCAAATTGGCAGCCTGAAGAAGCCACAGTAATAGAGATGAATGAGCCAGTATCTTTGACTTTTGCCCTGAGATACCTGAACTCTTTCACGAAAGCAACTCCTTTGTCCAACACAGTGACCATCAGCTTATCTTCAGAGCTTCCTGTTGTTGTTGAGTACAAGATTGCTGAGATGGGATATATAAGGTTTTACCTGGCACCTAAGATTGAAGAGGATGAAGAGGAAACCAAACCTTGATTTTATGTTTCTGCTTTCTTTTGAACTTGGATTGTTGGTTGGGGGGGGGGGTTAAATTTTCTGTGATGAAGCTCATTTGAGGTTTTCAGGCAAGCAGTATGTAGTTTAGACTTGCTAGACAAATTTTTAGGTTTGTGTTAATTAATGAAATCGTGTATTTCCCTCTTTTTAACTCTTTTTCTATTCTCTTGCCTGCATCCGATGCTTGAATGTGGTAAACCTACTTCATTGAATTTACAGTTTCTTGTTCATTTGATGCTTCATTAAATATATAGTTACAACAGTTAAGGGATTTTCGTTCTGGAAGCATATAGGAGTAACTGCTCCTTAACATGATTTTAAGAATCTGAAATGCTTAATTGCTGTGAAAATATTGATTTATGAAAATATATCCTTGGCCTGTTGTAAGCAATGTACGACTAGGGGAGGCACTTACCAATTCCCATTTGCTTATCCACGATAAAGATGAAACATAAAATGTTACTAGCATTTTGTATAATTATGACCAATATTCTTTAATTTTGCTCGCATTTTCTTGGAAATGATGCACTAGTTTGTTAGAATTATTAGTGGTGAGAGGAAAAGAATTACAGATTTGCTAGCATTTTAGTTGAGATATGTGCGAAAACTTGAACCAAGAACTGCCAATATCAGAAGTATCAACAGGGAAGTAAATGTTATCTATTTCATTGTTGCACTCAGTACGCAGGACAAATCATCCTTTATGATCGTAAGATGAGAACTACAGTACAGTTGCAAAAAACGTGAGATTTTTTCCGATTGCAGTTTAACTCAATTTCTTTTTACAAATGCCTCTACAAACAGGAAAATTCAGATTTTAACACTGCTAGATTAGAACAGACAATCTCATCCCGCAGTCTAGCCATTAGCTGCAAAGCTATAGCACTGCTCATGGAGAATGTTCAAAGTGGTAGCCGTATAGCTGCAAACTAAAAGACTCTATAGTCTGTAGCGCTGCAACTAAGAATGGGAAGAATGTCCAAAAATAGAAGTCTGCCGAAAAATGATCAGGTCCTCCACTTTTCACCAATATAAACTGCTTGATCACCAAGCTCTTGTTCAATTCTAAGCAACTGCAAGATAAACAAACGCCATACTTATTAGAAAAAAGGACAGAAAAAAAGGATGTGAAAAAGTCATGCTTAAGAAAAATAAGTGTTTTGTAATGTGTCCTCCAGAGTATCAAACCACAATAAGAGCATGGCACAGCAGATGGCTGTGCCACTAAAACTTCTTTCATTGAGGAGGTTGTAAACAGAGGAATTACTTTTTCAAACCCTCCACTCCCGCCAGGAAAAAAGAAAAGGAAAAAGGAAAACCACTACCGTTCTAAAAATTGAAAGCAGTCCACAAATTCAGCTAAACATGGCAAATACATTATAAAAAATCATAGGCTAGCAACCAGACCTGGTTGTACTTTGCTAGTCGTTCTCCTCGGCAAGGAGCACCTGCTTTAATTTGACCAGTAGCTAAGCCAACAGATAAATCAGCTATAAAACTGTCTTCAGTTTCACCACTTCTTTGAGATATCACAACCCCCCATTGGGCATCCTTAGCCATCTTGACCACTTCAATGGTTTCGGTCACTGTACCAATCTGATTAACCTGCATCCCAGTGAATCCACGCCATCAGAAAGTATTTTACATCAGCAACATATGCTACCGATATTTCCAGACAATATGGAGACTTATCCTATGTATTCAATAGTTTAAGTTATAAAAGGATAGGATACTGTTCAGTTCCACTAAGGATTTATGATACTATCAAGGAGACTTGACAAAGAAAATCTGAAGGGCCTAACAATCAAGGAAGTACCAGAATCCCGAAGTAAACAAAATGGCATATTTTACTAAGATCTCAAATCACTAATAATAGGGCAATGACTCAGAATTAAATTAGTGCAAATATTGGAGTCTCATTTTTGGCATCAGATGGATGGACAATTTCTTGACAGTTGTCAAAACAATAAATAAAACATCTTGACAGGTGTGGATGAACAAGTACTCCTCCAGAGTTGCCGCAAATACTAAACTGTAGAGCGATCTCAAATGGCAGGTAAAGCCTTCAAAGAATTCTTGGTCACCAAGATGAACCAAAAGCCAGGGAGTTGTTCACTCCATTAGAGAAAAGCAGTAGACATTGAAGATATAGTGGTTGCTATGTGCAATGACTCCAGTGTGGGTGTTGGATAGCGGTGCGGATTACTCTGTTTATTGAGCCTTTTTTTTTGGGGGGGGGGGGGAGGGGTCAGCTGGCAATCTTATCCAGTATTCGATGATCAATGATGTGGTAGGGTTCAATTAAAGTTCTTTTTTCCCCTACAGGTCAGGTATGCTTACTTTAATGGACAGCAACCACCCCCTCAGGTGTACTTTGATGTGTAATTACATTACTTGTCTAACATCCTAGATCATAGCCTCTTCATTGTCCTTCACACGAAGATGAGTTAAATTTTTGAAATAATTTTAAAATAAAAAAGAAAGAACATATTCTAATGTTGATTACTAACCCAATTATAAGGCCGTTCGGACATCAAAATTTAACATTCAAGAGCTAATCTAAGTCCAGATCATATCATACGCTAATGAATTAAAGCGTTACACTGTTGGAGAAGATTCTTGTGAATTCCTAGCACTGCAAATATGTAGAATGTGGAGAGTCTAGTTCATTCCAAGAAAGGGAAGCACAAAATTACCAAAGGAAAACCAGAATAAGGTGAAACCACACAAAATCCTGAATGATCATATTACACATTGAGTTGCTAGGATATCTCTTTTCGGCGATATGATTGGAAAGCCATACTTTTGCAACGATCTATTTTTTTCTTCCTGTTTTAATAAATAAAACTGCTTTGGATAATTATCACAAGTCAGTGTCCCTTCACAAAATAAAGATTTAATTTCCAAAACCTTCAACCAACAATCTATGCAATATGGGTTATCCTTTGCAAAGATAAATCTCAACAGAGCTCTTCTATAGAGGATGTTTTTCCTTTTGTGCGTCAAATGAACACTGTTTGCTACAACAATTATTGATTCTACTCTTTTTAAGTGTGAAGCTTTCATAATATACTCCTTTTCTTGCAAATTGCACTTGTGCCATGGAGAGGAATATTCCTTGCCCTTGATCAGTCACAATTCGAACCAGACCCCCCCCCCCCTCCTCCCTCTCTCTCTGGTGCAGGATGGCCGCTCACGAATGACAATAGTTTGCTTCAAAGAAAGATGTCGTAGTACCAACAAATATCAGTAGGTACCTTGAGAAGAAGGGCATTGCACGCATTCTCTTGTATGGCTCTCTCAATCCGTTTAGGATTTGACATTAGTAAGTCGTCTCCAACCACCTGCAGCAAGCAATTCATGTTTGACACATGATAGGACACTTGATAAATATGAAATGACTTTATAAAAATAGCAAGATCGCAATAAATGTATGTCAGTGGGCAGAAGTGCATCATGGCAGATATTGCAATCAGATGATCAAATCACCAGGGAGAACCCAGACGAACCTGGCACATTCCAAGACTCGAAAAGTACTTGACATGCTCCCAGTCCTCCTTGTCAAATGGATCTTCAATTGAGACAACGGGGTAGTCTATAGGGAGAGAAAAAAAAGGAATTGATGAGAATGTGATATCTCGAATAACAGAAAGCTCACATCACAGAATCAATAGATAGCAAAATACCTGCACAGAGTTCTTTGTACATATCAATCATATCCTGTCCTGATTTAAAATTTTGTCCAGATTTATTTGGAGTCTTAAAATCTAAATCATATTTTGTACCTACATTTGAATAACGCAAGTCAGTTTGTTAGTAATAAGAATATAAGAAGATTATACAATCAAAGAGACATATCATTACACCATTTCAACCTAGCCTACTACACGCCAAAAGCTAAAGGCAAATTGCAGATTGAGTATTTTTTTTTTAATAATGATTGACGTTCGACTTTCCTACCCCCCCCCCCCCCCCCCACCCCCTAAAAAAAAAAAAGAAGAAACTATTGTCCTCCCACTCTATCCTGATTAATCTTACATGCATGTGAGCAAAGATTACTGCAAATCAACTGAAGACTTTCCTAGCTAGCTATGACAGAGTATCACATGATTCTACATATCTACAATCAGCAAAAATTTGAACTAAAGGGAATATATCACCTATGCAAAACTCAGTCGCAGCAACACCAATAGCTATCTTTATTTTCTCCTTGTACCCTGTTCTCCCAATAGCCTCCTGAACAAGGTCCAAGCCATCTCTTAAGCTGCAAATGCAGTATCCGGGGTCAACAATTTCATTGAGAAGCATAAGACGAAGACATCAAAACTTGCCTTGAGATGTCGGGAGCAAAACCACCGTCTTCACCAACATTACATCCATAGGCACCATATTTCTCTGTAATCACTACCTGCCCTTTTAATTGTAAGCAAAGACCTTTTTTATATATAAAGTAAAGCAGTTTATTGATAATTGCAACCAGGGGATACAAGAAACAGTAAAAAAACTGGATTAACTCCAAGACAAACTTTAAGGAGCTTATGAAGTCAAGTAACAGGTTTACATCATTTACAGCATTCTATTTGCTCCAGTAAAAAAGATTCAACAGACAATTTGCTTTGAGTCTAGGATTGCAAGTGGACTCTCCTTGAAAGCATCTCAAGTTTCTTTCCAATTGTAAGCAAAGATTATTAATACAAAACCTTTATACTTAAACTAGTATTAAGAAATAGTATTTAGTTAATATGCTTTTACACAAAAATTTACATTGTAACTGCGTATTAATTGGCGATGAGAAAAATTGGACCATTACACCAGTACAGCCCCAACTCTACATTTTTCCGAGTAGTATCACCATCACATGTGGATATCAAAGGAGGTTTTCTAATATGGCAACATGTACAGGCTGCAAATTGTATACTTCGGGCTAATATAAATTATGCACAAATTGCTGCACATTATTCCAGGATTAATAGAAAATCTTGGATGATAGCAGCTGTTCCAGCAAAATAGTGTGTATCCATAACAAACAAAGGATGTTTTCTATTTCATATGAATCAGAAGTAAGCTTGACTTGCACAGTGCATTAAGCCATTAATAACACTTAAGAAAGGAACAAGACAAAACACTCAAGAATTCTGGGTAAGGGTAAGAAGACACAAGATTAATAAGACATATGTTGTTTGTATAAACAGTTAGAGCAGTTCAAACTTCCTTCATGTGGCAGGTGGAGAACATCCGATAATAGAGTTAGAAGATATTTTAGTTGAATGAATTCACCTTCAAATGATGATAGGTCTCGGAACCAATTTGTAAAGCCTCCTCAAATGTCTTTGATCCCACTGGCAGAATCATTATCTCCTGCAGAAGTTTAATATCACTTTTCAGATATGATTTGCAATTTAGCACAAAAACATTATGAGCTCAAAATAGTGGTGTCATATCACGATGATCAAAATGTTGAAGAAAGTGATGGAACACAGTGGCAAAGTAGCTCAAAGAAACATCTCTGAAGAGCATAAAAGCAAAAGCGGGAAACGCATTAGGTAATAGATTTGGATCCACCATTCCAAGTGGAAATAGGTCTCTTCATCTAAAGTTACTTTTGGTCATTGGAAGTGACTATTTATGATGAGTAGAGACAGGACTGTTTCTTTCAGCATCACATATGTTATTCTTTAATTCAGACAACAAAAGTAATTTATATATGCTTAACTCTCTTCTGCAAATGCCACAAAACTTCTACATGTCAAAATTTGATTCAAGTGCAAAACCAAGAAAAACAAAAAGAAAATCGTTGGTGGGCTGGTTATAGAATCAAAGAAAAGGAGAACATGTCAATGGCATTAACCCAAAGCCAATTTATAATTTTTTTCAACGAAACTTGATGAAAAAATAGCACGTCACCAGCTTGTTCTTCTAGGAAGTAGACACTACTTCACAAATAATGAGTCACAACCACTATGAAGAACTTGTGAGCAAGCATTGTGCAGGTCTTAAAATATACAAGTAAAGACTACGGGTTCACCTGAATAGCCAAATTATTTCCAGCATGTTTTCCTCCAGTTACGAGAGTAAAGACTGGAATAGGAAGAAGCAAGCTTGTTTGACCAGAAAGATCAGCAATGTGTTTGTAAAGTGGAACCTGAAGTTCATCGAGAGATAAGCTACCTAGTCCAGTGAAGATTATGGGTTTAGGTATAAAACTGAGGAAGTATGCTTGCCTCTTTTTCAGCAGCTCCAGCTTTGCAAGCAGCTATTGAGACAGCTAAAATAGCATTTGCTCCAAGTTCACTCTATCACATTGGACAAAGGAGAAGGTCAGTGAGCATGAAAGCTATTATGTCCAAAAAATGGAAAATTATTAAATTCGCAGGCATTGAACAAATGAGGACTCAAGAGCAGGTCAGTTACAATCCTCATTGCAAGAAAATACTTTCTAGTACACATCACAAGAATGGTGGGCGGAAAGAAGGTATGCTTAGAGCTGAATGATAGAGCTACTTTTCTAAAGCCAGTGATAGATATTTCCTTAACCATAGCATAAGCAGAAAAAAACAATAAAACTAAAAGAAAGAGGATGGAAAGAAATGCACACAAGCGCTCAAGGGAGCCTAATTAACTACATTCCATAGAAAAAGGATACGAAAGTTGTATTGCTCTTATTATGTTCACTAATTAGATGGAACATTACAAGAAAATAAACTCCTTTGACAGAACCAAACAAATGGATATAATGGAAGAGAATTTCAAAGATAGGGAAAACTTCAATTGCCTGTAGGTAAAACACTCCAACTCAAGGGGTCCACAAAATTTATCTTACAAGATAGCAACTCTTGTTAAGACTTTCCTGCAATCCATGAAGTCCAGAACTCCAAGTATGTTGCAAGATGGCAATTTTAAGTACTAAGTTCCACATTCATAAACTATGCAGGTAGTCTAAAGTAGCATTAAGTACTAAGTTCCACATTCATAAACTATGCAGGTAATCGAAATACGCAGAGCCATTCTGACTCAAATGGCGAGCTAAACGAAGTAAGTACCTAATCGTTTGAACATTTGTACTCAGAGAAGCTAAAGTACCTTATTTTCTGTTTTGTCCAAGTCTATCATGACCTGATCAATCTGAGATTGAAGAGTGGGATCCATACCAACCAATGCAACTGAAATTTTCTCATTAATATTCTTGACAGCTCTATTCACACCATTGCCAAGATAAGTTCCTTTGTCTCCGTCACGCAGTTCAATAGCCTCATACCTGATATTTTAGAAAAAATACCACAATTACACCATTTTCTTTATTCTCCAATATAAATTGCAACGGCTAAGTAAATGCTCAAACACAAGTCCGCAACTAGCTCCAAAAAAATCACTTAGAGAGGCTGGAAAATTAGTTTGCATTTTCACTGTTGCACTTCCAACCTCTACTAAATTTTTTGCTTTTAACAGGTCACTCTTATTGGGTGGTAAAAATGAGATATACACAGCGAATCACAATCTGAATTCTGACTTAAGACTAGAAAGTACCTAGAGCACTGTTCATTTCTGTCACATGTATAAAACTATCCAGCAAAGATGAACAGGGGAATAAAAGGCTCTTGCATGAATCACTGAAAATTGTTAAACAAGAAAGCGCAAAGGAGCTTCACCGCAAACAATTATTCATAAAATAAAAATGATCTTTGCATGCATCAAAAACATTTTTAAAAATTAAAAAAAGGGCATTTGCTCTTGATTAAAAAAAAAAAGGCATTTGCACACACCAAACAATTGTTATCAAGAAAAGAACATTTCCCTCCATCTGGTGATTTTTGGTTCACAGATGACTTGAGTTAACTTGGAATGAAGTACTGGACCTAAATATAACAGAACGGGTATAGATGATTCATAGAGTCAAGTACCCAAGGGAAAGGCCTAGTGGTTGAGGCATAGGAGAAACAATGTGGAGATCTCATAGACGAATATTAACTACAACACTTTGTGTGAACCCAACTGCTCCAACCTTGGTGAGTAAGATTAAGCCGCCGAGATCTAACTAAAATTTCATTTCAATCCCGATATTGCTGAATTAGTATTTTTGCAACTTGTGTTAGACAGGTCGCATATGAATTAGTCCAGGTGCATGCAAGTTGACTCAGACACCACCCTGACTCAGACACCACCCGTTCATATAGAAAACTCCAACTTATTTGTATTGAACCCTAGTCCATTAATCAAATTTACTTGAGTTCAACAAAAAATCAATTTTGCGGAAAGTGTTCAGGCATGAATAATTATTACTCACAAACAAAAACAGAGACAACATTCACTTTAAAGAAAATAAGGAAATCAAAAAGGCCTACATTCCAGAAGAAGCACCACTAGGTACAGAAGCACGGAAAACGCCTTTATTCGTGTGGAGATCAACTTCGACGGTCGGAATTCCTCTACTGTCCAATATTTGCCGCGCTTTCACCTTCGTTATCACCGACGGTACAGATTTCCGCATGTGATTTGACTATCAAGCATACAGTTAGGGTTATTGAAACTGCCAATTTTGAATCAAAGCACCAAAAAGAAAGAGAAATTAAAAAAAAAAAAAAAAGGAACTTACAATGAAGAGGACGGGATCGGGGGTTTTAGCTCTGACGGCGGCATTAACGGCATCTTCGATTCTCCGAGAAAGCATGTGCTTATCTAGATATTCTTGCACCGACATTTTCTTCTTCTTAGCTAATCTTAGGTTTCTTCACGTGAATTTGGAAAACAGGGAATGAAGTGAAGAGAACTGTTGCGTTTTGTTGCCGGAAAAATTACTCCGGTAGCTCCGGCAGCTCGAGCTCGAATTTGAACGAAGATGGAGTAACCTAGGATCTTGTCTGAGTATTGAATTTGGGACAAATGAACTGATTGCTTTGCCTTGGTCTGATGATGCCGCGTGTCCCTGATCAAACGTTCACAAAATAGACTAGTATGGATTTCTACAATTTTATAGCGAGCTTTGTTTAGACTTTAGTGGGAGAAATTCAAAAGGCGAAATTGATAAAGCGCCCCTTTAAGTTGTCCTCAACGATCAAGTGAACACCTCAACCGAGCCATTTTTCATTTTAACACTTCAAGTAGCTATTAAGTAGGTTAAGTAAACACCCGAGTATAGCTGACCATATGCATGAGTTGCACTTGCCATGACTTGTCAATTGGACCAATCAAAAAAAGACACGTGTAATTTTGCCATTTTTAAAAAAGAAAAGGAAAAAAATGGACAAAATTTGAAGGAACAGAGACTTGTTGCTTCCATTTCTGGGTCAAAAAATAAAATTCCAAACCGTGGAGATTATTCTCCATCAAATGGTCTGCAAATCGCTGGTGATACAATTTCAGACAATTCCACCAAGTTTCACCTCCCCACCAAATTTCAGACAATTTCACTGTGGGAATCGTCTTCTCCGATGACATGCAAATTGTCGGTGATACAGAATTGAACGGAGGTGGAGTTCTAGCAGTCCAAATGGAGCAAACTCGATACCAATTTCTTTGCCTTGATGAGGAGAACGTGTTTGAGCCATCAATTCAACATGGGTATCAATCAAACACTTCAATTTTTGGTCTGCTATTGATACTTTACGGATAGGGTGTGATTGTGAATTTTTTGAATATTTTTGGTTTGCTTTAGAAGGGTGCTTCTCGTTACAGAATTATGGTTTGCATCCAAGAAAAATGCATAAAATCAGAATACGTGACCATACACTTCCATCAAATGACCAAAACATACTCAGAATCTCTAGCTTTTTGTTGAGATTAAAGATGCACAATGGTAATTGTTTGGATAATCTAGTAGAGAAGGTGAAAGAGAAGAATGGGTTTCGTACAAAAAAATTTGTTGAATTGGTGAAATCATATATTTGGTAATGGAGGCAGAGGCGATTTAGGGTAGAGGAGGGTGTTTAATGGTGGAGAAGAGAATTGGAGGAGAAGGTGTGAAAATTAGGTGGATCCACATTATTTTAGGAAAAGCAACCTAATTTTAGGTAGGCAACTTGCATCCGAGAGAGTGCATTTCACGCAATGGGGGCTGACATGGTCGGGTGTTTAGTTGATCTTCTTTTGTGAATAAATAAATTATTTAGCTGAAAATGGCCTCGGTTGAGGTGTTCAGTTGATCGTTGAGGACAACTTAAAGGGGCGCTTTATATATTTCGCCAATTCAAAAATAGCCAGATTTAAGAGTGGTCGTTCAAAAATAGCCCAGTTTCAAAAGTAATCGAAATTTAGCCACTTTTCATGTAAAGATAAATCTGAGCGAAAATACTGTTCAAAACCCGGAAAATAAGCCAGTATATTATGCTGGAGTTCCAGCATAAGTATACTTGAACTCCAACATATTATATTGGAGTTCCAGTATAAGTATGCTGGAACTCCAGCATAATATGATGGAGTTCCAGCATAAGTACACTAGAACTCCAGCATAATATACTGGAGTTCCAACAAAGTATACCGGTTCAGTATAATATGCTGGAAGTTCATATACAAGTGCTCGAATCTCCAGTATATTATACTAGAACTTTCCGTGTGTTGGAGTTCCAGCATAATATGCTGGAAGTTCATACACAGGTGCACCGAACTCAAGTATATTATGCTGGACCAGTCTCTGCTGCAGCAAAATAATGGTTATTTTTCATTGACTTGGTAAACGCTGGCTATTTTTGAATGACCAGTCCGAAAACTGGCTGAACCGTGCTATTTTTACGACTTTAGTATTTACCTGTATGTTTAATTTCTTTTTGCATGTGTTATAGAGCCAGCCTTACAGGTCATGAGTTTTGGCTCAAATTTTATATTTAATTAAAAAAAAATTAATTTCTCTGCACGTGCATTATACCTATATTTCATATTTTTTTAATTAAAGATATATACTAAAAATAGTTAATATACATATTTGAAAAATATTAATTTATCAATAAAATTATAAATCAAGATATACCAAAGCTTGGATTATCGCATAACCCTAAGATCTTTTATGAGTAAATTCAAAAAACATACTTTCCGACAAACTCTATCTCTATTTTTCTAGTCATCACACTATCAGTTAAATTTTGGTATATCTCCTTTTTGAAATTTGACTGCTCTAACTAACGATGTCGGAAGTAGGAATTCTTTGATCAACTTTATCTTTTTTATATGTTTTCGCCCTAAGCACATTCTAAAGCTATTTGTGTTACAAAAATTTAGCTCTTTAATACTTCATTAGATTTGTCTTGTAATCTTATTTCACATAGAGAAATATGAGATACATCAGAAAAATATATAGTTAGAGAAGAAAGAGTAAAATGTCAATAAAAAGAAGGACGATAGTTAAAGTTCCAAATGAACTTATAACTCTAAAGCTAAAACATTTGGAAAAAACTATTATCAATTAATTATCTAACTCACAAAAAAGTATAATAGAACTCCATTGCCACAATTTATTTGACAAAGAATGAATGTACTCCAAATTTAAGAAAGAAATATTAAAGGCACATAAATTAAAATATAAATAAAATACAAAAGTGATCTTAGGAGTTAATATTTACTTTTATGACAATTCAAGTTCATGCCTCAAAACAATTTATTTGTTCTAAAATCTCCTAACATGGTCTTAAAGAATGAAAATATGGGACTTGAACTCGTGATTAATTTATTTTATTTAATATTGAGAATCTTACAGAAATATCCCAAATAAGTCTAACTTACCAATCTCTAGCCATTAATCATAAACTTGCCAAAACTAACCAAGCACATGGAAGAATTGAATACCCAAATAAATAAGAATTATTTCTCTCCAAGAATCACATACAAATTCTTTCAAACAAGGTGATGAAATACAATCTCTCTCTCTATATATATACACACACACACACATACATATAAAATCCTAAAAACAGAAATGTATTTTCAAAAAACATGTCATATGTATGTTCAAGTGTGTCCGGTAATTTATATGAGATGCAATGCTAAATAATGAACCAAACAAATAACATATTAACATTTAAAAATATATAAGGGCGAGAAACATATGGGGATCTAGGATTTGATGACTACGGGTGCCATTGTCTACCATTAGTGAAGGAGATTGGTATAGGGTATACATTTAGTAGGTTTGATCCGTTTTGAGTTGATTCGGTTTGGTTCGCTTGGTTCAATCCACTTTAAATAAATTTATTTTGATTTTACAAGATTTTTGGTGCATACAAAAATATATGATCACCAAATTGAATAAGTTTAGTTAATTCGATTTAATTATTTCGATTCAAATTCTACTAAAAATATGATTAAAAACATAAAATAAAAACAAACTTTTAAATTAGCAAATATACCCCTTCAATCTTCATATAGCTAGATTAGTATTATGTCTATTGGTGCAATTATTTTAGAAAACTTTGGAAATCAAGGAATAACTTTAGATAAATAAAAGGAGAAAATAACTAAAATCACATTCAAATAAAATTCTGAAGATTTTGAAAGTTGTAATAGATTGGATCATATTAAGGAGTTTAAATCTAAGTTTTTGGATGATTTGGTAGAGTTTTGAGGTGGTTTGAATTGAAAATTCAAAGTAGAATATGAATATAAAAAAAGATTATATGCGTATCACATAAGTATCATATTTGTATCAAATATGTATCACATTTATAACTATGTATACATGTATGTGAGATACATGTATAATGCATGTTTGACACATGTGTCGTAGAAGAATTTTTTGAACTCGATTTTAACTACAAATTTTGATACCAAATTAGTCCAAATCACCTCCAACTCTAAGGGCAGCCACTCCAAGCCTGCCCTACCCACATATCTCCAAAACTCTACTGGAATCTCGTCTGGTCCGGTCGCTTTGCCCCGACTCATCTTACCCATCGCATCCGCGGCCTCCTAAATAGTACAATATTTTTATGGAAAAGGAAAAAAAATTTACTTGATTATCGATGTTAACCATTCGCATATTTAGGGGATATAAATTCTTTTTCAAGCCCAACAATGGCGAATATTCAAATACACATAAAAATTCAGATTCCGGAAGCTTACTTGAAGATAATATAATCAATATTTTATAGCACCCACATCGAATAAAATAATAAATCTTCAAAATAAAATTTTAAATACAGGAGCTTCAAGCTCATCAATGGTGGATCTTCATACACACACAAAGATCAGAGTTGGGAAACATGATATATAACTGCATCAACTCATGGGTTCAGAAATACAAATAAATACAAAAAAAATACTAATATAGAAAGAGGATTTTGGAGTGAAACTCATGTACAATATTATTGAAGAGAAACAAAATCTGAAGAAAAATTCACAAGTCAAATCAGTAATTGCTGTGCGAAATATTATTTCTCATGGTTTGGCTATGGGATTTTTGAAATGAAAGAAATGGCTGGGTGAAATAGCGTTAAGTGAGGCGTTAAATGAGGGGAATAAGCTAATGCATGGGCCGGGTAAATTGTTTGGGCCGCATGGGTGGAGAAGTAAATAATTTGGGCCTGGGCATTAAAGGGTAAATAATTTAAAATTAATGGGTATAAAGTGAGATTTTCTCAATATTGACCTCATAACCAAAAGTAAACATCTCATTTCTTTGGGGTGAAATTAAAAAATAGCTAGATTTACGACTGATAAATAAAAATTAGTCACAGTTTCAAAATTAATCGAAATTGAAACACCTTTTCATATAGATATAAAATTTTAACAAAAATACCCTAAAAATACGGAAGAATTCTAGCATAATTTGCTGGAGTTCGAATTTTTTACATATGGGATTCTAGCATAATATCTTGGAAATTCATAATGTGGTGGAGTTCAAATATAATATGCTAAAAGTTTAATTGCAGAAGCTCCATAAAGCAGCATATTATGCTGAAACTTTTCGTGTTTTAGTTAAGGTACTCTTGGCCAAATTTTACCTCTGCATTAATC